CTGGTGATTGAGCCATTGACGGAGAATCGTTCAACTTTGATTTCCCTTGTGATTGAGCCATTGATGGTGCAGTATCTGCAGGTGCCTTAATACGCCCCCGCAAGATGGTGGAGCCATCGACGACACCAATCTTGGACCGTAGCAAGGCAAAGCGGAAGGAAGGTAATGGTTTGGTTAGCCCATCGGCAAGTTGATCTGCTGAGGCAATGTGAGAAACACGAAGAATTCTCTTGTCAACTAAATCACGAATAAAGTGAAGATCAATTGCAATGTGCTTCATACGTGAATGCATGACTGGATTACTGCTGAGGTAGGTAGCACCAACATTGTCACAGTAGAGAACAGGTGGAGTACCAGAAGGAAGACCAAGCTCACGCACCAAATGCAGGACCCAAACTAACTCAGATGAAGCAGCGGCCAAGGCTCTATACTCTGCCTCGGTAGAGCTTCGAGCAATGGCTTTTTGTTTGCTAGCCTTCCAAGATATAGGTGTGGCACCGAGAAAGACAAGATAACCGGTAGTAGAAACAAAGGTGTCCTTGTCACCTGCCCAGTTAGAATCACTAAAAGCATGGAGGGCGAGACTAGAGCTAGATCGTATCAATAAGCCATGGAACATGGTGCCCTTCAAATACCGTAGAATCCGTTTGACTGCCTGCCAGTGCAACTCAGTGGGACAATGCATATACTGAGACAACTTATTTACTGCAAATGAAATGTCAGGACGAGTTAAGGACAAGTACTGCAAAGAGCCCAGTAATTGCTTGTAAGCTGTAGCATCGGAGAGAGGAGGAGAACCACTCTGAGGTGACAAACCCGAGGAGGACATCGGTGTGGCAACGGTTTTGGCACCATCCATTTTGCTTTTCTGTAAGAGATCATTGATGTATCGGTGCTGAGAGAGAAATAAACCGGCAGAAGTTTTAACTGCCTCAACACCCAAAAACAGACTAAGTTCACCAAGGTCCTTTAATGAAAATTTCTGCCCCAACTTGGTGATTAAATCTGAGATGAAAGCAGTACTGTTGCCAGTAATCAGTAGATCATCAACATAAACTAAAACATAGATAACAATCCCAGATTTATTATAAATAAACAAGGAACAATCAGAGCGAGAGTTAACTAAGCCACAAGCAAGCAAGAATTGCTTTAATTCCGTATACCAAGCGCGGGGAGCCTGCTTGAGTCCATAGATGGCTTTCTTCAATTTACAGACATGATGAGGAAGATTTTGATCAATGAAGCCGGCCGGTTGAGCCATATATAAATCTTCCTCAACAAAGCCATGGAGAAACGCATTATTCACATCAAGTTGCCAAATTGGCCAGGCTTGACTGACAGCAATGGTGAACAGAGTGCGGATGGTGGTGGGTTTTATAACAGGGCTAAAGGTGTTGGAGTAGTCGTGACCAGGCCGCTGATGAAAGCCTTTGGCCACTAGCCGCGCCTTGTAGCGCTCAATTTCACCATTTTTTCCTCTTTTCAATCGAAACACCCACTTACAGCCAATAACATTCTGGGTCGGAAAGGCCGGAACCAGATCCCAAGTCCCTTGGCGAACAAGAGCATCAAACTCATCAGACATAGCCCTTCGCCATTGGGGATGGCTCAAGGCTTGGCTCACACATGAGGGCTCAACAGTGGTGGGGAGAGGATATTTGGTGGCAAAATGCATCTATTTTGGTTTGAAGATGTGATTGAGGGAGCGGGTGACCATAGGGTGAGTTCGGTGGGTATTGGGCGGTGCTGGGTGGGGGGGGATTGGGGCCGGACTGGGTGAGGGGGAGCAGGGGACTGGAGAAGGCGAGACAGAGGCTGGTGACGAGGAGGAGACAGGGGACGGGGACAAGGAAGAGGGAGAGGGAGAGGGAGAGGGAAGGGAATCAACGGCAACAGGGGAGGTAGTGAGAGGGCTGGAAATACCTGAGCATGGGCGAGACGCACCCAGATCTGGACCGCAAGCAGTGGGAGGCGATGCATCCTGCGAGATGGGGATGATGAAGTCCTGCAGAGGTGGATTGGCAGTGGTAGAGGGCACCAGTGGTAGCAAGGCTGGGAGAGGAGCCGGGGATGGAGCTGAGTCCGGTGCTGGAGAAGCAGAAGGAAAGAGAGAGGCTGATTTGGTGGAGGGCTGAGACGAAGATGCAGGAGACAAATTAGTGATTTGAATACTGGGGAAATTTTGAATTTGAGAATCTGATTTTTCTGTAGAAGCCCGAAAAGGAAAGTAATTTTCATGAAAAATAACATGTCGGGAAATGAATATTTTATTAGTTTGAGTATCAAAACACTTATAGCCAAGGTGATCAACAGAGTAACCAATACAAATACATTGACGAGATCTTGCTTGAAGTTTATTTTGGGTGTATGGGCGCATCCAAGGGTAACAGGCACACCCAAAGGTTTTTAATTTTAAATAATTTGGTGGGATAGAAAAAAGCTTTTGAAAGGGAGATGTGAAAGACAAAACAGAAGTAGGTAAACGATTGATTAAATATACTGCAGTTTGAAAAGCATGGGACCAAAAATGAGTGGGAAGTGAACTGTGGTGAAGTAAAGTGAGACCAGTTTCAACAATAGATCGATTTCGTCTTTCACAAATACCATTGAGTTCGGGAGTGTAGGGTGGGGTGGTGAAATGGGAAATACCATGTTGTTGAAAATAATTTCGAAGAGCAACATATTCCCCACCTCCATCGGAATAAAAATTAATTATTTTACGCCCAAATTGATTTTCAACGAGAGACTTGAATTTTGGAAAAATAATTGAGACATCTGACTTCTTTTGAATTGGATATAGCCAAATATACTGACTGTATAAATCCACAAAAATAGTAAAATATTTGTGACCATCAATAGATGTGGTAGGTGCAGGGCCCCACACATCAGAGAAAATATATTCAAGAGGGGCATGGCTAGTGATGGAGGATGTTGAGAATGGGAGTTTGTGACTTTTAGAGCAGGAACAAGAATCACAGTAAAGACCATCAAATTTATTTATTAATGGCAAATCAATGACACTGAGAATTTTTTTAAATATTTTGGATGATGGATGTCCCAGCCTTGTATGCCAATTTATTGCCGATGCCTTTTCTCCAAGATATGCCATGGGCATTTTTTTAGAAGGGCCCATTAGAGGAACTTGGTACATCCCATGTTGGTTTGGCCCTCGCAGTAGTATCGCCCCCGTGTTGCGATCCTTCACCAAGAAAAAATTAAGGTGAAATTCAACAGTAGAATTTGTGGTTTGACATAATTGAGAGACAGAAATAAGATTACGAGATGCTGTAGGTACAAATAAAACATTATGTAAAGGAAGAGATGAGGTGGGTGTTGTGAGGGTAGTATGACCAACATGAGTGATTTTCAAACCTGAGCAATCTCCAATAATTAGTTCATCAAGGCCATTATATTCTGAATGTAATGCCAGGTTCGACAAATCAGTTGTGATATGATTATTAGCACCTGAATCAATCACCCATTCATTAGTGTTTGGACTGGTAGATGCTGCATAGTGGGCTGCGGGTCCTTGGCCTTGATTTCGAAACAGTGAGCATGTACGAGCAGTATGCCCAAAATGGTTGCAAAGTTGGCAAGATATGTTGGGCCTGTTGGTGTTGGGCCGGTTTGGGCCTCCTCTGTTTCTATTGAAGTGATTTGGTCTTTGGCGCCCATTTCCTCTTCCTCTTGCAATTTGGTGGCCTGAACCAAAATGTTGTATATTGTGTGGCAATGGCAGAATTCCTGCACCATTGGACTGAAAGGAAGCATTTGAAAGACCAGAATTTGTAGAAAAAGTAGGATTATTACCAGCAAGTTTCCTTGTGGGCATAGCAGCAAAATGAGCAGTCACCGGTGAGTTTACAAGTCGGGTTTCTTCCCGGTGCATGCTTTCTTCATGCGCAACTAGTCTGTCATGAAGTTCTTCAAAAGAAAGCGGCTCATCTCGAGCACGAATTGAAGCAGAGATCTCACGAAATTCAGGGCCTATTCCGTTGAGTACATGTACCGTCAAGTCATCGTTGGTAAGAGGTTTATCAATTGCAGCAAGTTCATCAGCAAGCATCTTGAGTTGATGAAGAAATTCGGAGATAGTGCGGCCTTCACGGCGGGTGTTTTGAAGCCTTTCCTTGAGTGTGAAAACTCTAGACCTTGAGTGATTGGCATAGAGGTTAGCTAGAGTTCTCCAGGCTTGTTGGGAAGTTTCAGCAGCAGATATGTAGGGAGCAATTGGTTCTGAAACTGATGTAAGAATGGCGTGACGGATCGACTGATCTTGGCGGATCCAGAGCTCAAGGGGTGAGTCCGAGACTTCTCCGATTGGTGCTGGTGGGCAAGGCTTAGATCCATCAAGAAACTCGGTTAATTTGTAGACTGTGAGGATGGACAGAAATTGTGCCGCCAGGAAGGATAATTGCTCGGAGTGAGTTTGAGAGGAAAATGAGCAGCAGCATTGAAGGTGATGATAGTGTTCTGTCCAGCAGAGATGGCAGCATTGGTGGATACAGGAGGAGAGGTGATAGTTGCAGAGGATTCGCTAGCCATTAGTTATGCTCGTTTGAGAGAATGGCTCTGATACCACTGTTGAGGTGAGGAAGAAGATTGAAGGTAGAAGTTCAGATATTTATTCACTGGTTTTTACATGTATATATATACAAGAACGGAAGCTGCCCTATT